CGCCCTAAAAGCGGACAATGACATGTTCGCCTCATATGACTTTTTAAGCTTTTTTGAGAATTTTTCCTTTGAAATCGGCGGGCACGATTGCAGTTTAAAACTGCACGAAGTCTTATTAGGCGTCAGAACTCTAGTGAAAGACAAGATAAATCATGCACTGAAATACAATGATGCCTAAGATGTCTTAAGAATAGGAAAGTCATTCGTTATTCGTTATTGGCAGATTTGGAAGTCAAATTCATCATACTTTTGTTATTATTTTGGACAATGGAGGCAGCAGAAACATGCTCTTCATTTTATGAATAAATAACCATTTTTAATTCTTTCTAGGTTAGTATTGGTAACCGAGCAGGTCTTAGTCCTATTGATATTAGGCAGATGATGTTGCTTTATAAGTGCGGTGAGTCGAAAGAGGTCGTTACTATTCTAAAGTTAAAATTAATGTTTATTACAATCGTGTTTTTTACAAATACACCAAAATGTTAATTACATAACTTTCCTAACAAACGTAAGTAAAGAATAAAAAAGTTGATTTTACCGGCTAATTGAGGGATAAGGAAGCTTGCGCCGAGGAGTCAGTACTTCTGCCCAACAATCAAAGCATTACAGTAAAAGAGATGGTAAGTTTTGAGATCGCTAAAGGAATAGAGAAAAATGTTTTGGTCTTGTCAAGAGCGTGGGACGAAATAAATTCGCATAAAATGTTTTCGCTAATTTAACTATTTATCCAACTGAACCCTTACGAGGACTCCGATTATTTTTCTATGTCCCACGCTCGTGACAAGACGAAAAACATCTTTCCCTAATCAGGGCATTGTTTGCTGTTTTAAACAGAATGCAAATTGACATTTGTTAAGTGTGTCAAGTCAAACTTTATTTTGCACAAAACCTTTTTGCAGAAGCATATTCTTTCATAATTGGGTAATATTTCTGGATACTTCATTTTTCTCTCAGGTGCTGCTCCGCCGTCGACACAGCCACCCCCACCGACTACTCCTCCCTCTGCATGTAAGTTTAAAGTGCATGCACTAAAAATAATCGTTTAAGGGGGTTCCACCAAAAAAAAGCTTATCGAACAATTTTTTAACTTTCCTTAATGTTCCTTACCAATGTCTGTGAAAAATACAATGAAAAAGATAGGTCAACGCGCTTGTTTAGGAGATATAATAAGCCAAACGTACCCCATTTATGCTTGTACTTGCACTTATCATTTCATTGGTTCACAATACACTTTGCTGCAACTGGAAGCAAGTGTTTTTAAAGTAACACTTGAGAAAAAAACTTAACAGAAACAAAAAGTCTCAAGTGTATGGAACAATTTGATATACAATATAATTTTTGGGAAAATCACGAAAATTTAAACGACATCGACTAAAACGTTCC